ATGGCGGATAATTGGCCGCTTGGCAGCTCGTTTCGTCACAAAAAATAATTAAGGACACGTCGAATGCAGGAGGGAGGCAGGGAGGGAAGCCATCTCTCTGAGAGCTGCCTGAATTCCTGCAGAAACAATCAATGCAAGGCAACATTTATGACTGGCCGGGAGAAGGTCCTTTGTTGCCACATCTGAAGGTGACTACTGCAGCTGGGAGTGAAGCACTTGAGGGCCCTTTAATTTGCGGCTCAAAGAGCTTAAAAGTCCATTACTATCTGGCGAACGGGGGGCAGGAAACTTTGTCCAGTAATTTCCCAAATGAAAACCCAATTTTCGGCCGTGGTGAAAGAGTTTTTCTCCCATCCCCCTCCGCGCAATTTATTGGACTTTAATCTTTTGCGTACTGATTCGGCAACTTATTACTTAAGTTCCCGCTAAATATTTCAATAAACTTTGGCCAAAGTTCGCCGGCCCCCAGCGAAATTCCAGGGGAAATCGATGGTGAGATGCCAACTGGTGGCGGATAATCTAATCTGGCAGCGACTAGGGATTCGAGTTACAATAAAAATCAATTTCCATATTCAATTTGCTTAAGTGGCAGGCCCTCCCGGAAAATGGTTGAAAAATGAAAATGAGCCTCGCCCTTCTGGAGGCTGTAAAACTATTGACTATCCAGAGTTGAGTCAGCGATTTGGTCCAGCCAATGATGTTGATGATGATGATGCTCTTGATTCCCGCTTTTGTGGCTCCAGAATAACTCCGCACGGAGCCAGAGAGAAAGTAGTCTGAGGTTCGAGGTTCGAGGTCCGAGTCCCAAGTCCGAGACCCGGACATTGTGTGACACATTTCCATTTTGGGGAATTTCTTCATTTCTGCTTTGTTGCCTCGGCTTTTATTTACTGCGAACAACGGACAGGGAACAATGCACTGCAATGGCTGCCGCTGCCGCTGCTGCTGCTGGGAAATGCGAAAATGGGATGGAAAACAACGCTGGAAACAGTGGAAATTGTGAGCTATGTTTTCGGGAATAATGCTCTGGCAAGGTAGCAGTGAAAAATGCCAGCACGTTAAATTCAATTTAACGTGAAATGCAGTGAAACGAAATGAAATTTTCGCTGTCGCAGTGTCTAACAAGGAGTCGGGGGGGAAAAAACCAACAAGCTGGAGGAAAACAAAGGACGAGGGGGAAAATTGAAAATAAGCGAGGACAATTGCCGTCCGATAAGAAAAGCTGCCTGGATGGCTGGTCATTGGTGGCGGGAAACCGAAGATTACCAAACATAATACAAAAAACTATACAGGAGAGTATCCAGGCGAAAGCAGAAAGCAAATACTTCAATCGAGGCAAGATGAAACGAAACGAATCGAATCGAAACGGAGGCAAACGAAAGCGAATCGAATATTTATTGCCTTTATTAGCGAGTCGATTGAAAAATTTACTGCGCTCAAATTCTATCTTGAACGCTTCGCTTCACTCACTGCCAGCTGTTGGCTTTGGGTTTTCCGGGGGGTTTTTCCTGACGCAACCTTACCCCGCCTGCCTGCCTGCCTTTACTTGGGCATTGTGCGCGAGCAATTCATCTCGGCGTGGAAAAACTTTTCCATTTTCAGCTTGGAGCTGGCTGGCTACCTGCTGATGCTGTAGCCTGACGCTTCATCCGAAGGTGGCAGCATTTTTGAAATTTTCGCTGGCTGATGCAGCTTGTTTTTCACTTCCACATCCACTTCCACTTCCATTTGGTTTGAGATGTTTCCCTTGTTGAGCAGTCTCGCTTGTGTTGTCTATATCCTTTAGGTCCTGCCCATTTGTTTTCAATTTTCCAGCATCAGAGAAGATCTTTGTTTTCCATCAACACTCGCCGCCAAGCGTATGAGTAATTTTCCCTTTACTATTTTCTGGCACTTGGCAGACATTTAAAGACGTACTTTAAAAATTGTGAGTTTAAATGAAAGGATATTCACACTATTAGTCACTATCTTTAATTAAATTAAATTAGAAGCTAAAAAAATGCAATAGAAATGCAAGAAATGACTCATTTTCTTATTTATTTAAGTTAAATAAAATAAATATGGTTAGGCAATGTAAAAAAGCATCCCCTTAGGGATAGACAATGCACATCCTGTGGAGTCCTGATGGCACAAAGCTGCCTGCAGACTGTCCCCCCCTGTGGCGGAGTGAACTTCTCGCATTACTGTGCCATAAAGGACACTCGCTTTTCCCCTCTCCCTTTCCCATCTGCATCTGTCAGCGTATTTCCGGCTCGTATGTGTGTCTGTCTCTTTGTCTATGGCAGTTTACCTAATTACATTCCGGAAATAAAACGTTGACTGATTGTGCCAATAAATGAAAATAATGACGCACCATTGACTGCAAACTGGAGCCGGCAAGCGGCAAGCGGCAAACGGCCAAAACTCTGGGCAAACTTTTTCCCCGAGTTTGCTTAGAGACAGAGAGGGACAGCCACCAACAACAAAAAAAGAGCACACGAGCTGGAAAACTTCTTGCCTGTCTGGGCTCCTTCCTCTCGGGCTTTTCTTCTGCCCTTCAGAGTCTCCTTTCACTTTCTTTTTTCCTATGTGTGTGTGCTTGCTGTGCCTGGGTCCTGACGAGTTTATTTGCTTGAGCAGCGCTAACTGATTGTCTGTGATTTTCTTGTTTTTAGATAATGAAAGCTGCAGCAATCTGCGGCTGCGGGTACATAAAACGAAGGCGAAAGTAAGGGTCTCAGGTTTGGGTTTGGGTTTGAGATGGAGCAAGTGTAACTTTTTATATGTCCCGGCAAAACAGGAATTGCCGGCAATTTATACAGATTCCGGGGTAGCGAAAGGGAAAAGGAAAGAAACTGAAACTGAAACTGAAGCTGAAAGTGAGATTGAGTGGGTCAGTGTGCCAGATATCACAGGACCTTTTGCTGGGCAAGGGAATTAACATACATTCCTAGATGCTTGATGGTCAGGTTTTCATTGCCAGATATATGGTTATTATTTTCCAGTGGTTAGTTTTGAAAGAGAAATGGAAAAGCACAACAAATCTGGATAATCGGCTATCTTTCTTAACCATAAAATGAACTTTTAACTACTTAAATGGAAAAGTATAAAGTTTATTTTAATGCTTAACATTTTATTTGATTAATTTCTCCATTTATACTTAAAGAACCCTCTTAAAACTGAAACCATTATCCCAATATTTTCCCTTCCCAACCGATGAAGTCATGCCGAATTCGGAACTGTGCAGATAAGACAACCTACGCGAAAATGCTTTCAGTGCTGGACAAGGTCTGAACCGTGTTAGCCGTCTTTGGCTTGGATTTCCTCCCAAAAGTATGCAGAGCAGTCTGAGCTGGCCAAAAGCGGTGCGTGAGCTGGCCAAAAAGGAAAGTTGGCCCCAGCTGAGGGCCAGCCCGAAACTCGGTTGCAACTAATTTCAGCACAATAACCCAAATTGAAGCGGTTTGCTGGCGCTTTGTTTGCCCACGAAGCGCAGCGAGGCGCAACGAGATGCGTGACGAAGGCGATGGCGATGGCCACGGCGAAGTGACTTCGGCACTCGGCTGATGATGGCTGCACAAAGAGAGAGCGGAAGAGAAATTTCAGAGAGCCGAGCTATGCGCACGAATGTCAAGGAAGAGAGAGCGGAAGAGAGCATGGTCAGCCGGAAATAAATGTTTGCTATAAAAGTCCCCAACAGCTGTTCGCAGGAGAATTTCGAATATTAGACATAGTTTTAATAGAATTATTAATAGATGTTTGTTTAAAAATTATATAAAAAATATACAGTTCAATAAATAAAAACAATAGATAAATAAAAGATTACAAAAATCTGTAAACTGTAATCTGTAAAAATTGTAAAACTCTTCGAATATAAAGTAACTAATTCTTGTTAATTTGTATATTTTATATTGATATATTTTCCTTTTGTTATTTATTTAATCTTAAGAAGGAGGGAAAGTGAAATAAATGGTAAGTTAGGTTAGAAGCGTATTAACTCTATTTAGAGTAACTTCATCTGGATTAATTTTGTAATACGCATTCCTTTAAATACTTTCAATGTCAACGAAGACCCATTATTATTTACTAAATAGTTAGAGTTAGTTATGCTTACAAACTCACTTTAGTTAAAAATTCCTTCTGTTTATTCGAATGACAGCTAGTAATTTGTTTCGATAACATTTAATTGCACATATAACTAAAACATTTAACAAGTTTTCTTCATATCGCTTTCCCTGTAAAGTCCCCCCTTTGATTCGATTCGTCAAAGAATAACAAACAAGCAGAAAGGGACTCTGCTCTTCCCTCCCCAAGGACCAATTAGGCAAACATTTCACACGAACCGGAGATGCTATAAAAATCACACACCGAAAGAGAGAGAGTGAAGAGCTCCTGCTCTTTGAGTTTCCCCTAAGCGGAAAATGAGTGAGAGAAAAACGAAACGAAGGTTGTGCAGACTTTGCCACGGCTACGGCTGCTGCTGCTGCTGCTGGCTTTTCCTTGGGATCCTCGTGTCAGTCGCGTGCGAAAGCGTAAAGTAAACAGACAGGCGGCTGAGGCGCCTGCTGGAAAAGCGGAAAAGCAGGAAAACCAGCAGCAGCAGCCAGTGTGTGCCAGCGCAGGCAAAACAACAACGTTGATGACGACGACAACGACGAAGAGGCGGCAGCTGCTCAGCTCAGTCATTTAGTTAAGCGTTGGCCGCAGCGGTAACGGGTTCCGTTCGGTCCAGTTTATACGCGGTCAACGGGTCGAATGCGCGATATATTAAGCATACGCAGCGTGGTTCTCGGTTGAAACGATGACATATGGCAGCCATGTGCTTCTTCACGCCAAAATTGTGACAGTTAAATGTGGCTAAATGGATTACCAAATGAATCAAAAAAAGTTACAAAGCGAAAACAATTAAAAATCGGCCAACAAAAAACAGACAAAGTTAATTGGAAATGTCGCTTAAAACGTGCATAAATCAACACAGAAATTGCATTTAATTAAGAAAAACAAAAACAAAAAAATATACATAGAGCTTCACAAAAAAATAAAATTAGAAAAAAAACAAACGAAAACAAAACGTTTTAATTACGGCAATGTCACAAACAAATTGAATTGAATTGCCAGTGCAGTGACAAATGAAATGAAATTAAAGCGTCTGATAAATTGATTTACAAATGCAAAACAATTGGCAGCCGCCGAAAAAGGGGGAAAACGAGCAAAATATCAACGTCAACAATTACAACTATTGGAACAACAACAGCAACAATAAAATGCCGGCATCAAGTGGATTATATCGCATCAAGCACGGCCGTGTCCTTGACGGGCTGCAAAAACCCGCGGCACTTATTTTTATTATAGCATACATTGCGGCATGCGGCATTTGCGGTAAATATCACACGCGCACAAACATCACTGACTTTTGACTAAAACGAAACACACACACACAAACAGAAACACACCAAAAAATAATGGTGCATATAATTTATATATATTATACACTTGTTTCCATTTGATATTCATGGCAATTTGCGGCGCATATTGCCTGTTCACCGAAACAAGGATAATTTAATTAGGTCTTCGTAATGCATGAAATATTGTGAAACGGCATTCGCCGCTTATTTTTCACAAATATCAAATTAAATGCCGCCACAAAGGAGAGATCGAGAAATCGTGATATCGAGAGAAATCGTTAATTTGTTACATTCCATTGGCGCCGTCGAGTGCAGTGACAGGTCAGGCGATGAGCGCGGAAATCACCTGTGCATCACCTGTCAATGCCTGACACCGCAACAACAGCAATAAAGGCAACAACGAGAGCTGCCTTCCCCCTCCCCCCCAGGAACAACAAGAACACTTGTCTACAACTCTCCAGTCTGCTGCTGTTGCTATTTGCCCCGACTATTTCCCCGCTTTCCCGCTTTCCCATCTTCCATCTTCCATCGGCTTTCTGGCTGGCAATTTGTCAAGCAATCAACAAAGCCAGAAATTGCCTGGCAATAAGACAGAGAAGGGAACAGGGACAGACAGAGAGGGAATGTTGTCGGTTGGCCGAACCATGGCGGCAAATACTGAGTAGAAATGCGAATAAACCCATCGAACGGCGGATATAGGCTGCACTGGGGGAAATAAGTAGGCCTAAGATGGGTTTATGGGTGTTGAAAACAATTGGGACTTTGATTCCTTGTTGAAAATAAATTCAAAGATCATTGTTTTTAAACAAGTAATTTTTCAGTTAGAAGCTTGTTTCGCTGGGAAGAAGTCATTTCCGACCCTATAAATCATATACATTCTTGATCAGAACGAAAAGGCGAATCTATGAAGCCATGTCCGGCAAAACTAATTTTTTTTATTTTAAATAGAGTATGCAGTTTTTTTAACTTAATAACTTAATAACTTCGGAAAACAGCTATCCAAATTAAAATTAATGCATTATTAGCTTACTTATGATTGATTTCATTTCAGAACCCATGACTCTATGGGATCACTTTGGCTTCTCGAAGTGTCTATAGTTTCTTTTTAATTCAGTATTCTCTCAAGTAGTTTTTAATAACAAAATATAGACTTAATTTTGTAAGTAATTCTTGGTCTAAAAAATAATTTAATATCTTGTAAGTCAAACAAGTAAATTAGTTTTTAGATAGTTCAATCATCAAGTGAAACCTTTCTAAATATTTCCCATCTCCCTACAAGAATTTTGACATTATTAGTCTTAATAAATATATTCAGCTTCCCTAAAAGGCCAAAGGCTTTCTACAATAACATTTTTCCAGTCTTAATAAATACATCTCGAGTCCATAGTAAATGCTCTTGACTTTGGATAGTACATTCTTCATCCCGAAAGTATTTGTTTCTAGTGTGTGCGGGACAACAGAGCAAAGAACAGCAATATGGGAAACTAGAACACAGCCAGTGGCTGTGCCACATTTGTGCGTGCCCCCGAGGGGCAACGTCGAAGGGGTGTTTGTAAAATCGTCACAATATAAAAAAGAAAGAAAAAACAGTGCCACGTCTTTGCCTCAGGGGCAGGGCACACACACACTGCACACTGGCGACTATCTAGCGCAGCCATTGTTGCATGCCACACACGGACACATGCCTTTTGGGGCACGGCACACACTCCAGCTACAGTCGCTGTCACTGTCAATGCTGTAATGAAAAATGCACAAACACCAAAACGAAATACGAAATACGAAATCCCAAAAAAAAGAACACTAAATATGAGCCTGAAAATAGAAATAAACAGGCAGAAAGGGAGCTTAGGGCAGAAAATGAAAAAAACAATTCAGTTGCGCCTCCTCCTCCTCCTGTCACACTTGTGTTTTTTTTTATTTAGAGCGCATTAATATTTAGCCAGCCGCATGCACGTTCCACATGGATATATAAATGCATATTCCTATAGTATAAATCAATATTTACATGCCCGCGGTGCATGTCTAGTCCCCGGTTCGGGGGATTTTGAAGGCCAGCGGGTCGTTGCACAAGCAGCATCGCTAGCTGCACCCAAATCCGCGGCTCAATGGATCCCAGATATTTGCATAATGTAACCAAAAAAGATATATATACATATATATACATTCGTAGGTATTTTGCTAAAATCTCCGCAGTGCTGCCAAGCGTTTTGAGGGCTGTCAAAAAGGAGTTTGAGTTCGAGACACGATCGAATGTTGCCTTATAAATAAACGAGAGAAATATGCAAATATTCACTTATTCAATTATGCATGCTGTTAAACAAACATTTTTTATGTCATCTATATTTAACGTTGGTCTTTAAACGAATAAACAACGTATTTTTTCGTCTTTATACAGAGTGGTTGTTGTTTAAGAAAATAAAATATATTCATTTGGAGAGCATTTTCATTTATTATTATATATTCAGTCAGAAGCATGAAAAGCTGTGAAAAAGTAATTTCCGACCCTAAAAATCATATATATTCTTAATCTGCACGAGCAGACGAATCTTTCTAGTTATCTCCGGCAGAAAATAATTTTTTTCAAAAATGTTCCATTGAAAAAAAATTTAAATTTCTTAATTTCTTGTTAATTTTATTCTTGTTCTTGTTGAAAATTATTCATTTCCTCTTAATATTCGTTAATCTCTAAATAAATAAAAATGAAAATTGATTAGTGAAGCATTTGTTCTTTCCATTTTAGCAGAAGCTATCAATATTATAGTTTCTTTATTTATTTCTTAGTTTCTCTGGCAGATTTATTTTGTTAAATTTATTTTCCTTAAGTGCTCAAAGTTAACAACCGATAACGACAAGTTTTAAATCATTTAATCCTATAATTTAAAAGGATGTACTCTGGTTTTTCATATTTCACGAGATGAAATAGTTTGGCTTTCCTAATCCTCTGGCTTAAATTGAAGTGCCTTTCCATCTCTTTAAACTGCATTTTTAATTTCCCTCAAACTTTGCACCTCCTCTCCCATTAGACAGATCGAATCAAAAGTTTTCGGCTTGGTTTCCCATTTAAACTGGCCCCTCCTAGTTTTCCAGTTTTTCCCAGCTGACGCCGCATTGTGTTTGTGAAAACCACGTGGCTGAAAATGCATGAAAATCAGTCGCATATTGACGGCTGCAGTGGCTCGCTCCCAGCTTTTCCAAGAGTTTCCCCAGTTCAGTTCAGTTAGGACAGTTACTAGAGCATGACAATTTCATGGCCCACACCCACGAACAGGTCCTGGGTGGCTCTCTTACTGTGTGTTCGTGTGTGTGTGTGCTCGAAATTGTGAAATTGCTGTGAAAGTCGGGCAAAAAAGTTAAAACCATTGATGCCTGGCCCCGGGATAAGTGGGCCACTTGCGGCCGAAGCGGGTTAATTGGGCTAACTATCGCAGGAGCGCCAGCCTCTGTTCTGTTTTGTATTTTTTTCTTCGCTGCGTTGGTTAATTGCCACAGACCCGATATCAGACCTTTTTCTTTTTTTGTAACCCAAAATGGTAGAGGGGAGAGAGGAGAGCGAGAGAAGGGACAAACCCACTACCAAATTAGTCGAATAAATTAATAGTTGACTGCTTCCCGAAACCGGATGTGAAAGCCCATCATATACACATATATGGAGGTATCTCACTTTGAACAAGTCACGCACGTGTTAACTGAAGTATATTTTCCAGGAATTGTTTAAGCACTACACACATAAACTCCCTTTCATATCACTTATTGCTTAATTAAACACAGCAAGTTCTTAGACTTTAATTAGTTTCCTTATTAAACTAATATATGTAATCTCTATTATCTAAATTCATTTCATTTCCAAGAAAAAGTAGCTCCCTTTAGTTTACCCATTTCTTTTTGGATAAACAAACTCTTCTTTGTAATTTGAGCCGGATTTTGTGAGGGGAATAAGATAATCGATTCACAATGGCAGGTGACAAAGTGAAAGCCGCTTTCCAAGCACACAGACAGGCTCAGAGAGATAAAGGATGCATTTGTTAATGACGCGCGATGATTGACGAGCACAGGTGCAAAGGAGCCAAGAGGAGCCAAAGGGAGCCCAAGGAGCAAGCCTGGAAATCGTTTACCCATGCATCATAATTTTGAATAAACCAGACGCTGCACAAGGTGGGGAAAGAAAGCGAACCGGAGCGGGGCAATCAGACGTCGTGAACAGGATCCTCCACGTGCAAACTGAGCCCGGGTCAAGGCCTACACACACGGCAGGCACAACACATGGGGGCAAGGTGGCAGGCATTGAAAGCGCGTTGGCAAGCATAATTTAATACGAAACATGCTGGGGCACACACTCCCGCCCAGCCCAAGTTGAATGCAACGGTAACAGAGCCATAAAGCTCACCTGTTACAAATGCAACGCCACGTGGGCGTCCTTCCATTCCCTGACCTGATCCTGTAACTGCAGGCCTGTATCCTTTCCTGCCATCCGAGCTGCGGCAGCCATAATAATCAGCACAAAAACTAATGGTCCCTTCCACACACACACACTGGCACACACACCACCATCTCACATAAAGGATACACACACTCGGGCACATGGCTGCACTTTAAGCGCTGAAAGCACGTAAATTCTACATAATTCAGAGGAGGCGCCGCCTTTTGGCAATGGCAAATGCGAAGACATGGACATGTGTGCCGCTTCACTGAGACAAAAATCGGTGTAGTTGAAGAGGGAATTCAGTTAGGGTCTTGGAAGAGAAATCTATGAAGTTTTCTTCGATATTTTAAAACGAAAAAAGGTTAAGAAATAACTTCTGGGAAAATTAAATAAAGAAGTATATGTTGTTATTCACAGTATATTTTGATAAATTAAATATATAATCAATTGAACAAGTATTTTTATTAAATAATGCTTTAATCTTGTACTTTTCAATTCCCTATTTCCTTGCCTAAATAATATTTATCTCTTTACATTGATTTCAATTTCATAAG